ACAGTTTTTAAACTGCAACATTAACACCCCTCCTTCAGAGTGCAGGCACTGTACTTCCCATCTCCAGGACTCAAGTCCGGCCTGCCGGTTTCCCTGAATCCCTTCATAAATGTTACTTTGCTCACACTCCAACAGCACGTCAAGTATTAAAAACCATTTGTCTCCATTCACTCCTATCAAACACGCTCATGCATGCCTGCTGGAAGTCCAAGCCCCTCGCACACAAAACCTCCTTTACCCCCTCCCTCCCTCCAACCTTTCCTAGGCCGACCCCTACCCCGCCTTCCACTACAGACTGATACACTCTTGAAGTAATTCTGTTTCGCTCCATTCTCTCTACATGTCCGAACCACCTCAACAACCCTTCCTCAGCCCTCTGGACAACAGTTTTGGTAATCCCGCACCTCCTCCTAACTTCCAAACAACGAATTCTCTGCATTATATTCACACCACACATTGCCCTCAGACATGACATCTCCACTGCCTCCATCCTTCTCCTCGCTGCAACATTCATCACCCATGCTTCACACCCATATAAGAGTGTTGGTAAAACTACTCTCATACATTTCCCTCTTTGCCTCCAAGGACAAACTTCTTTGTCTCCACAGACTCCTAAGTGCACCACTCACCCTTTTCCCCTCATCAATTCTATGATTCACCTCATCTTTCATAGACCCATCCGCTGACACGTCCACTCCCAAATATCTGAATACATTCACCTCCTCCATACTCTCTCCCTCAAATCTAATATCCAATCTTTCATCACCTAATCTTTTTGTTATCCTCATAACCTTACTCTTTCCTGTATTCACTTTTAATTTTCTTCTTTTGCATACCCTACCAAATTCATCCACCAATCTCTGCGACTTCTCTTCAGAATCTCCCAAGAGCAGAGTGTCATCAGCAAAGAGCAACTGTGGCAACTCCCACTTTATGTGTGATTCTTTATCTTTTAACTCCATGCCTCTTGCAAAGACCCTCGCATTTACTTCTCTTACAACCCCATCTATAAATATATTAAACAACCATGGTGACATCACACATCCTTGTCTAAGGCCTACTTTTACTGGGAAATAATTTCCCTCTTTCCTACATACTCTAACTTGACCCTCACTATCCTCGTAAAAACTCTTCACTGCTTTCAGTAACCTACCTCCTATACCATACACCTGCAACATCTGCTACATTGCCCCCCTATCCACCCTGTAATACGCCTTTTCCAAATCCATAAATGCCACAAAGACCTTTTTAGCCTTATCTAAATACTGTTCACTTATATGTTTCACTGTAAACACTTGGTCCACACACCCCCTACCTTTCCTAAAGCCTCCTTGTTCATCTGCTATCCTCTTCTCCGTCTTACTCTTAATTCTTTCAATAATAACTCTACCATACACTTTACCAGGCATACTCAACAGACTTATCCCCCTATAATTTTTGCACTCTCTTTTGTCCCCTTTGCCTTTATACAAAGGAACTATGCATGCTCTCTGCCAATCCCTAGGTACCTTACCCTCTTCCATACATTTATTAAATAATTGCACCAACCACTCCAAAACTGTATCCCCACCTGCTTTTAACATTTCTATCTTTATCCCATCAATCCCGGCTGCCTTACCCCCTTTCATTTTACCTACTGCCTCACGAACTTCCCCCACACTCACAACTGGCTCTTCCTCACTCCTACAAGATGTCATTCCTCCTTGCCCTATACACAAAATCACAGCTTCCCTATCTTCATCAACATTTAACAATTCCTCAAAATATTCCCTCCATCTTCTGAATACCTCTAACTCTCCATTTAATAACTCTCCTCTCATATTTTTAACTGACAAATCCATTTGTTCTCTAGGCTTCCTTAACTTGTTAATCTCACTCTAAAACTTTTTCTTATTTTCAACAAAATTTGTTAATAACATCTCAACCACTCTCTCATTTGCTCTCTTTTTACATTGCTTCACCACTCTCTTAACCTCTCTCTTTTTCTCCATATACTCTTCCCCCCTTGCATCACTTCTACTTTGTAAAAAACTTCTCATATGCTAACTTTTCTCCCTTAATACTCTCTTTACATCATCATTCCACCATTCGCTCCTCTTTCCCCCCCCGCACCCACTTTCCTGTAACCACAAACTTCTGCTGAACACTCTAACATTACATTTTTAAACCTACCCCATACCTCTTTGACCCCATTGCCTATGCTCTCACTAGCCCGTCTATCCTCCAATAGCTGTTTATATCTTACCCTAACTGCCTCCTCTTTTAGTTTATAAACCTTCACCTCTCTCTTCCCTGATGCTTCTATTCTCCTTGTATCCCATCTACCTTTTACTCTCAGTGTAGCTACAACTAGAAAGTGATCTGATATATCTGTGGCCCCTCTATAAACATGTACATCCTGAAGTCTACTCAAAAGTCTTTTATCTACCAATACATAATCCAACAAACTACTGTTATTTTGCCCTACATCATATCTTGTATACTTATTTATCCTCTTTTTCTTAAAATATGTATTACCTATAATTAAACCCCTTTCTATACAAAGTTCAATCAAAGGGCTCCCATTATGATTTACACCTGGCACCCCAAACTTACCTACCACACCCTCTCTAGAAGTTTCTCCTACTTTAGCATTCAGGTCCCCTAGCATTCAGGTCCCCTACCACAATTACTCTCTCACTTGGTTCAAAGGCTCCTATACATTCACTTAACATCTCCCAAAATCTCTCTCTCCTCTACATTCCTCTCTTCTCCAGGTGCATACATGCTTATTATGACCCACTTTTCGCATCCAACCTTTACTTTAATCCATATAATTCTTGAATTTACACATTCATATTCTCATTTCTCCTTCCATTACTGCTACCCCTTCCTTTGCTCTAACTCTCTCAGATACTCCAGCATTTAGTAACTTACCACCTATTCCATATACTTGCAACATCTGCCACATTACTCCCCTATCCACTCTATCATATGCCTTTTCTAAATCCATAAATGCAATAAAAACTTCCCTACCTTTATCTAAATACTGTTCACATATATGCTTCAATGTAAACACTTGATCTACACATCCCCTACCCACTCTGAAACCTCCTTGCTCATCCGCAATCCTACATTCCGTCTTACCTCTAATTCTTTCAATTATAGCCCTACCGTACACTTTTCCTGGTATACTCAGTAAACTTATTCCTCTATAATTTTTACAATCTCTTTTGTCCCCCTTCCCATTATACTAAGGAACTATACATGCTCTCTGTCAATCCCTAGGTACTTTCCCTTCTTTCAAACATTTATTAAACAAAAATACCAACCACTCCAACACTATATCCCCCCCTGCTTTTAACATTTCTGTCATGATCCCATCAGTTCCAGCTGCTTTACCCCCGTTTCATTCTACGTAATGCCTCATGCACCTCCCCCACACTCGCATCCTGTTCTTCTTCACTCCTAAAAGATGGTATACCTCCCTGGCCAGTGCATGAAATTACCACCTCCGTTTCTTAGTTGACATTTAAAAGTTCCTCAAAATATTCTCACCATCTACCCAAAACCTCCATCTCCCCATCTTGTAACTCACCTACTCTGTTTTTAATTGACAAATCCATTTGTTCCCTAGTCTTTTTTAACTTGTTTAACTCACTCCAAAATTTTTTCTTATTTTCATTAAAATTTCTTGACAGTGCCTTTCCCACTCTATCATCTGCTCTCCTTTTGCACTCTCTCACCACTCTCTTCACCTTTCTTTTACTCTCCATATACTCTACTCTTCTTATAACACTTCTGCTTTGTAAAAACCATCTCATAAGCTAACTTTTTCTCTTTTATCACACCCTTTACTTCATCATTCCACTAACCCACTCCTCTTCCTCCTGCACTCACCCTCCTATAACCACGAGCTTCTGCCCCACATTCTAATACTGCATTTTTAAAACTATTCCAACCCTCTTCAACCCCCCCACTACTCATACTTGCACCAGCCCACCTTTCTGCCAATAGTTGCTTATATCTCACCCGAACTTCCTCCTCCCTTAGTTTATACACTTTCACCTCTCTCTTGCTTGTTGTTGCCATTTTCCTCTTTTCCCATCTACCTCTTACTCTAACTTTAGCTATAATTAAATAATGATCTGACATATCAGTTGCCCCTCTATAAACGTGTACATCCTGGAGCCTACCCATCAACCTTTTATCAACCAATACATAATCTATGAAACTACTTTCATTACGTGCTATACCAAACCTTGTATATTTATTTATCCTCTTCTTCATAAAATATGTATTACTTATTACCAAACCTCTTTCTACACATAGCTCAAGCAAAGGCTCCCCATTTTCATTTACCCCTGGCACCCCAAATTTACCTACTACTCCCTCCACAACATTTTTGCCCACTTTAGCACTGAAATCCCCAACCACCATTACTCTCACACTTGATTCAAAACTCCCAATGCATTCACTCAACATTTCCCAAAATTTCTCTCTCTCCTTTACATGTTATTATAATATAATAATTTAACCTAATGAAACCTAAGAAAGTGAAGCAATATGAATACACTTACCTTAAATTTCTGGTTATTGTTGCTTAAGTGGCTTGATGTTCGTGAAGAAGCATGGTGTGGCCCTACTGGGCCACATGTAACTAAATACAATACCTAGGAATTTTGCCATTTTTTTAATTCTACATCAAAAGAATTTATAGAAAATATCCGTACAGGTTCACAAACTAGTTTTAAAGATGAAACATCTTTGATGGGTACACTCAAAAGATTATAGAAATAATTGGAGTTTTTTGTTCAGAGGGATACAGTAAAATAGTTATTTTTTTTTTCTTTAACAAAAATTAAAAGAGAATGAGGGATAAATAATCCGTGATAGGAATATTTATATACCTTACTCACATAAGTGGCTAATTATTTTCATTCTAATTCTTTGAGTTAGCTCATATTATCATGTCTTTTATACTCAAGGATAATATTCAGTAAACAACATCAACTAGTTACCCTGAATTAAAGTGAGTGCACACGACAGGAGGCGGAACCGTGTGCCAAGAGCACAAATGTGACGGTTGATCTTGGAATCTGGGTTGCCCACAGTCATATGAAGAGTCCGGTGAAACATGCCAGCAAACATTGCAACTTGAGCATCACTATCATACTTTGCAATCTCAATACGCTCACTGATGAACTGTGAAAATGAAAATATTGTATTCCTGATGATACCAAGCCTGCTTGTTATTGTATATTAGATAAACAATAACATGTAAAAAAAAACTGAATATTGCAGCATAATTCAATTATATTTTTTTAGTTAACACAGTAGTTTACTGTTTTCCCAGAAGAGTCAAGACCATGAGATCTGTTACTATAAAACTAATAAAATTACATAAAAATATGCTCACCTGAAGATGACCTATATAGTCTCTTCCTGACAGATTTACCACCTTTCACTGTTGGTCATGTAGTTATCAACAGTGGAATCAGTTTGAGTCATGAAGATCTACACATAATTCATGGTGCTGTTCAATTTGCTTGGAGTGGTAAATTTTGGTAAAATTTGGGTGTGTGCAGAAGTTTATTTAATAAAACCCTTCCCAACATAGTGGATTATGGGAACAGCTAACCTCTGACCTTGTGTTAAAATAGTAACTTCAGTAGGGTGGTTTTCATGGTATAATTAATTGTTTCTTGGGAACAATAAATAGAATGGAAGACATATTAGTGAACTGGAGAAGATTTTGGTCAGTTTCAGACTGGAAATGGCATAAAATAGGCCTTAATGTGGCAGAAATGATCAATTTTTGACAATTTTTCTGGTATGGGGAGAAGATGGAAGGGAAGGCAAAGCAAGGTTGCCCCCTCCCCACCCTTTCCCCCCAATTCTGTTTTAAGGATTTTTGTTGGTCTGTTGCAATTATTGGGACAGCCTGAACTATGACCAAGCACTTTAGGTTTTGCATTTAACCCCTTCAGTGACTGTCACATAGATCTACTTTACTGAGACCAGGGTCCCTCACATAGACCTAAGTTCTGAGTGTAGCTTCCTCAGATAAGCTGTGAGCAGTAAATTTTGGCTTAGATATGAGAGAATGGGTTTTGTAGTGAGTGTGCACAGTATAAAAAAAATTCTTGCCCCATGCAGTGCATGATGGAAAAACAAAATTGATGCTAATGTTGTGTTTGGCTTAAAATAACAGTTGTTTCCCAGGATATTTTTCATAGAATAGAAAGTGTGGAAATTGACTGAGACTAAAAAATTCCACCATCAGATTTGTTTGTAAATAAGTTGATGTAGAAGTTGCAGGAACCCTTAGCACAGCCTTCCACCTAAACAAGATACAATATAACTGCTGAAGACTGAGATACAAATTGATAGATTTACACCTTAAGGGGATCATAGCTTTAAATTGATAGTAGATAATATTAGGATTAACCCTTTCAGGGTCCAGAGGCCAAATTTCAAAGTGCGCACCAGGGTCCAAGAATTTAAAAAAAAAATTTTGTTACTTTTTCTTATGAAATGGTAGAGAATCTTTTTCTGAAGGTAATAAAACAAAAAGTACAAAATTTGATGGAAAATTGACGAAATTATGCTCTTGTGAATTTTGATGTGTCAGCGATATTTACGAATCGGCGATTTTGCCGGCTTTGACTCCCATTTTAGGCCAATTACATTATTCCAGTTGACCAAATTCTTAGCTATTTCACTAGTATTACTTCTATTCTATCGATTGAGCACAAGAAATCGCCAAGTCAACTGTTTCAACTACAAAATGAAGTGATCGGAAATTGGTAATTTGGCCAATTTAATACAAAGTTCAAAATATTCCAATTTCAAAACAGGGTCCAGAATAAACAATGTAGGTATTTCTGGCACTAAACTAACATTTCCTCTGTTCATCAGTTATGTTTTGAGGCTTAACAAATGAATTCCATTTTGATTTTTTATTCACATAATGAATTTTTATTCAAACCAAAAAATAGAAGATTTACTGTTATGCAATATCGTAATAATTGTATAAATATCATCATCACATTTGTGAATGTATATCAGACCCACCAGCTGGCGTGTATTAGACGTGTGAGGTCGTTTGTTTACTCATGAACATCAGCAAAAATTTAACATTTCTGCTACTTAGAGCTCAGTTTCAAGCCATTTTCAGTGCAAAAACCAATCAAAATCATCTCTATTTCTGTAATACATCTTCCATTCTATCAAATGAGACCAAGAAATCGCAAATACGAATATAAAAACATATGAAAAAACACTGTAAAGTCACTGTTTTAATCGAAAATCATGGTCTCAGTTTTTTTCTCTCATTATACACTGTGTGCTGCAGGATTTGTTTTATGTGGTGCAAACATACCACATAGATGTATTCTCTCATATCTAGACCCAAATTTACCACTTAAAGCTTATCAGAGTGAGCTGAGCTCATGGCACAGATCTACGGTTTGGACCCTGAACGTAAAGCCGTAGATCTACGGCACGGACCCTGAAACGGTTAATATTGTAAACTTAGACCATAATACAGTGGAAACTCAGCTTACGAATGCCCCACCATGCGAATTTTTCAGGATATGAATAGTCGCTTGGTCGAATTTTTCCTTCTGGATACAAACAAAATTTCAGGATGTGAACTTCCCCGTTAAGGGAGGTTCCTTGGTGAGAGGCTCTTGATCTAGGGAACTGGGTCTGTGCTCCAGTTCCCTAAATTAATAATAATAATAATAATAATAATAATAATAATATTATTATTATTATTATTATTATTATTATACATATGTACTACTAATAATAATACACTGCAGTAGGCCTGTTGGCCCATACTAGGCAGGTCCTTAACAATCCACCCCACTAACAGAATACTTGCCCAACTCAATTTTCAAAGCTACCCAAGCAATAAGCTTTGATAATTCTATTTACTCATGTGCAAGTCCCCCTAACATCCAACCCCTCTCACTTATGCATTTATCCAACACAAATTTGAAACTACCCAAGGTTTTAGCCTCAATAACCATACTAGGCAGACTGTGCCACTCATCAACATAAGAACATAAGAAAGGAGGTACACTTCAGTATGCCTGTTGGCCCATACTTGGCAGGTCCTTCACAAATCCAACCTACTAACAGAATAAACTCTACACATGCTGTCCGAGTGGTGACCTGTACTTAGCTCAGTGAGGACATGTCTAGTGTACTCACTGTGGACTGAACCAAGATCCCCTCCACTGAGCAACTTTACCAGCAGTTTAAGGAGAAATTGAGGGTAGCAAAGCTTGAGAAATGATAATTTCAGAAATTGTGTAAAAACAAAGATCAATAGGAAAAATGTGCTGAAGAAAAAACATTTGATGGTATTTTATGCTAACAGTCGAAGTGCAAGAAATAAAATTAATGAACTATGTTTGGTAGCATGTGCTGGGAACTTTGATATCATTGCATTAACTGAAATCTGGTATGATTTAAAGAGCCGGGATATGACTGCTGAGTGTAATATTCAGGGATTTAAGTTGTTCGATGTGGATAGATGTAATGGGAAGGGGGGAGGAGTTGCATTATATGTTTGAGAATCTGTATTGATAAAGCCACTGGATGTCAAAATGTCTACAATAAAGATACCCAGATGTTGCACATGTGTCTCAGTTTTCAAGAGAGAGACTGCTGTGGAAACTTCGAACTCCTTTTCTGTGCTACCAGACAAATGTGAGTCGACTACTGGGTACATCACAATGAAGAGTAGGTACATGGATAAGGTCTTCTGCTTGAAGGATAGGAGTAGGAGACAGAGGGTTTGCTTTCCTAAGGCTGGGATAGAGGACACTGTTAGCCAGCTTGACATCATGCATGGTAATGGGATCAATCCTATTATCTGCCTCAGTGATAGAGGCAATGATGTAGGCAAGTGCAGAAGTGAGGATTTAGTTAGAAGGTATAAGGCAGCAATGGAAATAATTAGGAAGAAGGGAGGAGCCCTGTTATATGTGGCATTTTGCCAAGAAAAGGTAGTGGAAATGAATGTCCAGAATGATTGGTATAAATTGCTGGATAATGCAATACCATTCACTGACAACTGGGACCACTTCTATGGCCAAAATGACATGTATGCCAAGGATGTGGTTCATTTATCCAGGGCAGGTGTGGGTTTTCTTGCTAGCTCAGTTGAAGATGTTGTTAGGGTTTTAAATTAGAAGTAGTTAGAGGTATGGGTTTAGGAATGGAAAATAATGCATATCATAATACTGACTTAGGCTTTGATATCATAAATCTTAACATTAACAAGGACAGTAATAGGTATACGTGTAGTGGAAAAACAAATGAGCAGGAAGGGTAAGGAGAAAGGAGGGTCTTTAAACATATGTTATACTAACAGTCATAGTACTAGGAATAAGATGGACAAGTTGAGATCAGTTGCTAGTGCAGGTAACATTGACGTATTTGTCATAACTGTGACGTGGTTTAATTCGAATAAACGGGACATGTCTGCTGAATGTCACATTCAGGGTTTTAAATTGTTCCAAGTAGACAGAAGTATCAGGAAGGGGGGTAGGGTGGCACTGTATGTCCAAGATTGCTTAAACCGTTGCATAAAAATGGGTATAAAGTCTGAAATAACACATACAGAGTCTGTCTGGATAGAATTTTCAGAGGGAAAAGAAAAATTGATTTTAGGAGTGATATACTGTCCCCCAAACATAGATAGGGACCAAGAGAGACTACTATGGGAGGAAACTGTTAAGGCCACAAGGCACAATAATGTTGTAATTCTAGGAAACTTTAACCCTTTCAGGGTCCAAGGCCAAAATCTGAAGTCACGCACCAGTGTCCAAGAAATTTTGAAAAAAAAAAAAAAATTATTTTTTCTTACAGAATTAAAGAGCATATTTTTGTGAAGGTAATAAAACAAAAAAAATTAGAATCTGATCAGTACTTACCGAGATACAGTGCCAAGAAGTTTGTAGAAAATGATGTGGTGGCAGCAACATCGACGAATTCCACATACGCGTATTATATTATTTTTGTTGTTTTAGTTGGTTTTTTTTTTTCTTTTCTTTTCCAATTTTTTTCTATTCCTACTAACATTTGGGCTTGAGAGACAATACTGTATATAATTGGATATATTATACTCACTGTATTTGAACACAATAACCGCAGTGACATAAAGTTATTATCATATTACTTGTTTA